TTCTGGAAGTCAGACGCTCCAAAATGGTTTCACTAGACCAGAAGAAAAGTACGGCAAGACTGCATACCTTCAGGCGGCTCGAGGGGAGAATCCACTTCCTTCCCTTTGCCCAGTCTGGAGGCTGCCCACATTCCTGGCTCGTGGCCCGTTTCCTCACTGCACCACTCCAGCCCCTGCCTCCCCTTCCCTCTCCCTTTGATTCTCCATCCTCTCTCTTAGAACGACCCTTGTGATTATATTGGGTGCATCCCAATAATCCCAGATAATCTTCCCATCTCAAGACCCTGAACTTAATCATATCTGCAAAGACCCTTTGCCATGGAAGGTACCATATTCACAGGTTTCAGAGATTAGGATGTGGACATTTGGGGGGGGCGTTATTCTGTTTACCATAATTGCCATGTCAGTTTTCATAACATACAGATATCTTCACTTTAATCATGGGGACAAGCCCAGAGGGCTCCTTTTATAACTTCTCTTTACATTCTGTTCCTTTTCCCACTGTATGTTTGGTAATACCATTATCCACCAGCTCCCCTAGCTGAAAACCTAGGGATGCTCTTGCTCCCTGCTCCCATACTTCCCACATCCAGTCAGTCTCCAGAATCCACCTCAGAAAGGCCACCAACTCCAGGCATCCCTCCATCTCTGTTCTCCCTCCCGGGCTGAGACCCTCATCACTCCTGCCTGCACACTGGGCATGCCTGTTGCTCTCTCTGCCACCTGTCTGCCCCTCACCGTCACCCCATCCTCCACACCACCACCAAAACCATCTTTCTCAAGCACAGCTTTGGTCTCCTCACCCCCTGCTGAAAAGCGTCTGCTGGCATCCCACGGCCTGAACACCCCTTCTCAGCCTCACGTCGTGCCAACAGCATCCCATGGCTGTTCTCTTACCCTCCTCCCACGCTCTATACTTCCCACCTGCTGTGCTATATGCTTTCACTCCATTAGCTACTCAGAACACCTCGAGAGTCACCCAGATACACCATCTTCTTGCCTCTGAGACTGTTCTTCCTGTCACGGTCCTGGGAATGCCCTTCGAATGCCCTTCACTTATCCTTTGCCTGCAAAATTTATTTTAGTCCTCACAAATCTGGAAAGGGGTAGGTGTTATGAACTCTTTGTTACAGATGGCCAAACAGGCAGGGCATCAGTTAATGGGCCCCAAATCAAACATCTAGTAAATGGGAGGGCTCTAATTATGTAGGAGGTTGTTGTCTCTCCATTTGCTGGAGTCCAGTGGGCTGCTATATTATTACACGAAGATGATCTGATTGTTTGGGCTCTCATTCTTCTCTCAAATTCCTTCAGATTTCCCTTCGTTCCTAAGGAAACAAAACTAAGATTTTGTAGTGCGGCTGCCATCCCCAGGATCCCCGCCAGCCTATTCTGCAGTCAGCAGCCAAGAGTTGAGTGGTCTTTGAAAAACGCAGATTTGACCCCACAATTCCAATGTCCCTACCTGGCCCAGATTTCCTTAATGGCTGACTTCCCACTGCTCTTGTAATGCTCATAAATCTCCCCGAGGCATCTACATCACCAGCTGCCCAGCGTCATCTGACATCACACACCCCGACCCTTATTTCTCTACTCTGGCCTTATTGGCTTCCTTTCCAGGCCTTGGACCCCCTAAACTCCCCCTTGTCACATGGCTTTGCACATGCTGTTCCTTCTGCATGGATGTTCTCCTCCCTCTTCTTGGCAATACTGATGATCTAATTCAAAAGGCCAAGCTTTTCTCACAAACCATGTTGCCTCTTCTCTAAACATTCGGCATATAATCCAACAAAGAATCTATTAACACATATCAGCCATATCTTATTGGGCAATGCCATTAAAAAGTGAAGGAAATTGGTTCTTATTATCTAAGGACTCCAAGATTGGCCCCTGGCATTTTGTGACAGTGACATGATTAAATAGTCCACTCTTAACACCATCATTCCATTTTGGATGTTCCTTATACTGTATCTCATGTACCACCTTGCCAGATACAGAGCACTTAGTAAACTTTTCAAATATACTTATTTTTGGTTAATTAATTGATTGGTAAATATCGATTATTCATTACATGTCTTTAAAAAAAAAGTCTGGCATGTTTTCTTAAACAACTAAACATGCAGCTACCATAAAATCCAGCAACTGCACTCCTGGGCATTTACCCCAGAGGAGTAAGGACTTGCACTAACCAAAAAACCTGTACACAAATGTTGATAGAAGTTTTATTCATAATAGCTAGAAACTACCGAGATGTCCTTCAATGCGTGAACGGTTAAACACACTTTGATGTTCCTCCACTGGTGAACGGATAAAGAAGATGTGGTACACACACACACACACACACACACACACACACACACTGGAATCCTACTTGGCCATCAAAAAGAATGAAATCTTACCATGTGCAACAACATGGATAGAGCTAGAGTGTATTATGCTAAGTGAAACAAGTCAGGCAGAGAAAGACAATTCTCATGATTTCACTCATAATGTGGAATTTAAGAAACACAACAGGTGAACATAGGGGTAGGGAAGGGAAAAAAAGATAAAAACAGAGAGGGAGGCAAACCATAAGAGACTCTTAAATTTTTTTTTTTTCAACGTTTTTTATTTATTTTTTTGGGACAGAGAGAGACAGAGCATGAACGGGGGAGGGGCAGAGAGAGAGGGAGACACAGAATCGGAAACAGGCTCCAGGCTCTGAGCCATCAGCCCAGAGCCCGACGCGGGGCTCGAACTCACGGACCGCGAGATCATGACCTGGCTGAAGTCGGACGCTTAACCGACTGCACCACCCAGGCGCCTCATAAGAGACTCTTAAATACAGAGAGCAAACTGGGGGTTGTAGGAGGGGAGATGAGTAGGGGGATGGGCTAAGTGGGTGATGGGCATTAAGGAGGGCACTTGTTGGGATGAGCACAGCGTGTTATATGTAAGTGATGAATCACTGGGTTCTACTCCCGAAACCAAGATTACACTGTATGTTAACTAATTTGAATTTTTAAAAAAATAAATTTTAAATAAATAAGTGCATACATCCATAACATATGTTTGTACATCCATACTATGGAATACTACTCCTCAGTGAAAAGGAATGAATGTACAGGAATACACACAGCAACATGGATCTCTGGAGAACCCTGCTGAGAGAGAAAAACCTATCTGAAAGGTTATAAAATGTATGATTCCATTTATATAATATTCTTGAAATGGCAAAACGATAGAAATGGAGAACAGATTAGTGAGTGCCTGGGGCTAAGAGGGAGGAGGTGGGAGGAAATAGGTGTGGCTATAAAAGGACACCTTGAAATATCTCTGTGGTGTCTGAAATGCTCTATCCTGGGGCACCTGGGTGGCTCGGTTGGTTAAGCGTCCGACTTCGGCTCAGGTCACGATCTCACGGTCCGTGAGTTCGAGCCCCGCGTCGGGCTCTGTGCTGACAGCTCAGAGCCTGGAGCCTGTTTCACATTCTGTGTCTCCCTCTCTCTCTGCCCGTCCCCTGTTCATGCTCTGTCTCTCTCTGTCTCAAAAATAAATAAACGTTAAAAAAAAAAAATGAAATGCTCTATCCTGACTGCCTCAATGCCAGCATCTTGGTTGTGATACTGTGACATCGCTCTTCCAGATGTCACCACTGGGGGAAACTGGGTAAAGGGACACAGGATCTGTCTGCCTTATTTCCTGCAAATGCAAGTGACTGAACAATTATCTTAATTAAAATTTTAAAAGAATCTGTTTAATAAAGTATGTATCCTACCAAGATGTTCACAAGCCCAGAATACCACAGTGCCATAAAATTTCTTCTCTTTATTTTTTTTTTAAGTTTTCTTCACATTTATTCATCTTTGAGAGACAGAAAGAGACAGAGTGTGAGTGGGGGAGGGGCAGAGAGAGAGGGAGACACAGAAGCTGAAGCACGCTCCAGGCTCTGAGCTGTCAGCACAGAGCCCCACGCAGGACTCGAACTCATGAATCGCGAGATCATGACCTAAGCCAAAGTCAGATGCTTAACTGACTGAGCCACCCAGGTGCCCCTCTTCTCTCTTTCTTGATGGTTGTTTGTTATTTATTATTACTAAGGATTTTTCTTCCCTTTTATTTAAGACATATACAACACTGATCACGTTCAGGTTGTTTTCAACATGGAGGTTTATTATTTTATTTATTTTAATTTTTTAAGTTTATTTCTTTATTTTGAGAGAGAGAGCATGAGCTGGGGAGGGGCAGAGAGAGGGGGATAGAGGATCCAAAGCAGGCTCTGCACTGACAGCAGCGAGCGTAATGCAGGGCTTGAACCCACGAACCCTAAGATTATGACCTGAGCCAAAGTCAGACACTTACCTGACTGAGCCAGCCAAGCACCCTGGAGATTTATTATTTTAACGTCTTTATTCTTTACACTCCCTGTTGCCTTTCATACATTACTCTGTGTTTTGTTTTCTTGTCCTGACCAAGATACTTTTATAAACTGTGGGTTTTCACTTTATTCTCTGCAGTACTGTAACAACAAAGTATAATAATGTCTTTATTATCTTCACAGGTGAGGGAAAAGTTTTTAAAAGTAGCACCTCTGCCACCTGCCACATTAGATGTCCTTGTCTAGTCTTCAAGGTTCCATGAGCTCAGTGTTAGTATTATACTTGAACAGGTTGTCATTGTTTGAAAACCTTGGACTGGCTGTTGTTCAAATTTTTATTCGGTCCTTTTCATCTCTTCACTTCTCCGCCAAAGTTTAATACATTCTTCTGGTATCACCCTTACCGGATTTCCACTCTGTTTTCTATTACCTTTGCCTCATGTGGTTTATGTAGGATTTGGCTTTTTTTTTTCTTTCATTCCAATTATGGGAGTGATTGTAAAAGTCCATATTGTAAGACAAATGTTTGCTCAGAGAGCCCATGACTGCTTTGGAATTTTGAGTGAGAATAGAGCAGGATCAGTACTGCATTTAATTCCTTTTCACACTTTAATGTGACATTTATTTTTGCTTTCTCTTTCAGTGACTAGAGAACAAATCCGGGGACATATTACCAACCAGGTATTTCCTCACTTCTCATAAATTATAATGGAGAATTATGTTTTGGATGTTAATAATCAAGCATTTGTAAATATGGGGGAAAAAGCTTTGCTAATTATTGGGTATGAGCAATACACATGCTCTTGGTTCTGAAAACAAACAAATTGGTCATACATGGATGACCATGTACTTTCTTTGTCCCCCATCTCATTCCTTCCCTCTGCACATCCACCAAAGGAAACAGTAGAGAAATGAGACTCTGCGAATTCTGATTCGTAAGCTTCCCTCTGAACATAACATGACCTCTGCGTTGATAATATCATGGCTGCAAATAGATACTTTTATCTACTTTTCCCTTAGCTAAAGTGACTCTCCTGTGTGATTTTCCCAAGTTTTAATTTGCCCCGCTGAAAGTCACTCCCTCCCAAACAGTTAAGAACAAACCCCTAGCAGTAGAAACATGCAAGTTGCTTTCCATTATGGTCTTTGATTTCTAAGCTCAATTAGCCAATGTCTTCCTGGGTGCGTCCCTGTTTTCTTATCCAATCTTGTTACTTTTCATTTACTAGTAAATGAAATCACTCCTCTAACTGTTTTAGGGAGTTGAATAAAGCTACCCCTGAAACCAAGGGAGGCCTTCCCAAGCCCTATCTTGCCCCACCCAACCTCCTCTTTAAATAGGCCAAGAGGGCTGTCAATCTCTGAGGGCTTCCTGTTCCACCAGACTCCAGGAAAGCAGACAGCAGTTTGCTCAGGCTCCACTCACAAACCCAAATCTCCATGTCTTTTGTTTTGTTTGGTTTTCGTAGTTCTCCTCTGGCATAAATTATGACTCACCCTTGCCAAGGAGAAGAGTGGTAAGTCTACTTTTATACCAGTCAAGGGTACATTTTCCAAAGGCTTCTAGTGCCCTCCCAAATAAGTTCCAATTCTAGTCCCCATTGTCATTCCACCCAAATTAAGTTCTAGCTTTACCTAATCTGTGCCAGATGCCCAGTAGCTCATCAAGCTCTAAAAATAGTTAACTCATTCAGCTAATGTACTATTGTGCAAGTTCAGCAGGCAAAATTTAATGCTGAGCAGGTACCATTTTGCTTTTCATGTAATTGGAAATGTTGATTCACAGTAACAGCCATCTTAATACTTGAAAATGCTGTCATTGTGCAATGGCAAGACCAGTTAGCTATTTCAAATAGTTTATTTGCTTTTCGAGCTTCATTTCTTTATCATTGTATTTTCAATTATTTGTATGTGCTCAAGTGGTTTGTTAAGGCTGACAGCAGTTAACTGGTAAGGTTTATTGCTACCATTTTTATTTATTTAAGTCACACAGGGAATACTTTTTCTTATAAAGAGACCTGTTTATTTTATTAAGTTAACAAGTTAGAGCAATTGATCAAGAAATATATTAAGGCCCCCTTTTATGGGCAGATTTACATTTCCTACATTTTCCTTCATTTTACATGTGGCTAAACTGATAGAATATGTAGAAACCAAAATAGAACACCAAATATTTACTTGTAATCTGAAACACTGATTAGTTGCCAGATGAAATCACAATGATTTCCAGGCCCAATAAGAGTGAAATTCTTTGGACTGACCATAATAAGGAAGAGTCTTAAGTATATTCGCTATACAGTCATTCTTAAAACAGATAGTTGTATTGTTCAATCAGTGTCTGCCAGCTGGTATTTCTAATTTTACCATAGAATTTCTATTCTTTCTTCTCCCAAGTACAGAAAAGCTTTCCACTCTCAAGAACGCACTGGCAAAACAACTCAAAGAGACATCTCACACCTCTGATTTATCTAATTTTGGCAAAGAACCAAGAAATGAAGTCACACCCCTTCTTTAATCCCTCCGCTACTCCCAGAATCTGGCTTTTAAAAAACAAGTTTGAAAAACTCATTTTGGATAATCAATACAGTGTTCTTCATCAGAAAAGAATGTGAAATGGAGCACTGTTGAGCATTAATCTTTGCCCCTAAATCCTTCCCACTAGGCACTATAGATTGTGTAATTAAATTGAAATTGAAAATCAAGTCCTTTTTTTTCCCCCCCATTAAGCAAGCTCTGAGTTGCACACCAATGTGAGAAATCAGGGCTGGAGTGGATGGAGAGCTCCAGCCTACTGGCCAATCGCCAGCGTGCGTTTTTAGCCCACAGCTATTTTACCACACCTGAGCTCTGAGAACAAACAACTATTTGAGTTCTCTGGAGGGAACGTTGGATTCTTTCCTGTGTAATTCACTGGGGAAATTAGTATGCTTTTTTAAAGTAACTTGTTAACGGAGCTTGTTTACGAGAAGAGGACAAAAATGAGCAGTGATCCGTTTGGCAGCTCCTGTCCCAGAATGGGATGAAAGCATGACCCATTTTTTCAGCTGTCTTTTTGGCAGTTCAGTGCTGCAACAATTTCCTCTCTGAAAAATGCTCCTTCTAGAGATGAAAATCTCCTGTAGGTTTTCTGAATAATTTTTACTATGGGAGATTAAAGATAATGCTTTAAAATGCTACCTCAAATACCTTCAAAAGCCAGTTCGGAATATGGCCGGTACCGAATGGGAATACTGTACGTGAAACCTTTTAACTGAACTTGGAAACTGCCTTCTTATATGGTAGGCAGTTGAAAACCGCAGTAAATTAATACCTTGTGTGTATGCCTTTTTGCATAGGAGATCATTGAAACCCATTGGGAATTAATACACAGCTAGGTGACAAAGAGGGGCTCCGTTTCTTGTGGAGAGGACGTGCATGTTGGAGAGAACATGCACGCTCGGGTGCTGGCTGGGACAAAGGCTCACCTTCGCTGAATGCCTGGTTCAGAGAGAGCCACCACCCATAGGTGTGCCGTCAAAGCTGTGCGTTAGCTCCTAGGCTGTTGGAACAAACTACCACAAACTGGGTGCTTTCAAATAACGGAAATGTATTGTCTCACAGTTCTGGAGGCTAGGAGTCCAAAAGCCAGTGATCAGCAGGGCCACATTCCACGAGAAACCTATAGGAGAGGATCCCTCCTTGCCTCCTTCCGGCTGCTGGTGGCAGCCAGTGGTCCTTGGCGATGCTCGGCTAGTAGCTCCATCACTCTCTGCCCCTTTGTCATGTGGCTTCCTTCCTGCGTGTCTCTTCTTTTCTTCTAAGGACACCAGCTGTATGGGGTTGAGGCCCACCCTAATGACCTCATCTTAACTTGATCACATCTACAAATGCCCTCTTTTTAAATAAGGTCACACTGACAGGCACCAGGAGTCAGGACGTCCACGTACCTGTCTGGGGGGACACGGGTCAGCCACAAAAAGCTGGGGACCTCAGACTGATCCTCAACCCCATCTCTCCCTGTGACCACTGAGCACTTCTGATGTGATCTCCCATCGCCCCTCCATCCAGCTCCTCCAATGCCCAGCCCACAGCCCCTGCTTCGGCCAGACCCTCATGGAGGCGCTTGTTCGGCGAGGCTGTCTTGCTCCCGTCCACATTTTCCATTCGTCCTCCATTCTGCTCCTCTCTGCTTCCTAAAATCCCAACCATCCACATCCCTCCTCTGCTGCAAAACAAAAATCAAACAGAAAGACTTTCCCCACGTTTAGCGGTGATTACAACCCCTGCCTGTGCATTATACTCACCCTTGGAACTTTGTTAGCACAAACCTGAGGCTGCACTCCTACGCCAGCCCAAGAAGCACGGGATCCCTGTTGGGTTCAGACACAGCACAACCCTTAGACCAGACCAAAAGGGGTCATGTGCTTTAGAAGACCCCAAACATCGCAAACACAGAAATACAGAGACTTTTCTTTCCTTCTCAGCGTCATATTTTAAAGTTTGACGATCAATGGAGCACACACAAAATATGGGAGCACAACAGGGGAGCACGACAGAGCGGCTGAATCGGGCCAGGTCATCAGATGCAGTGGGGTTGGGCTGGGGGATAAAAAGCACCCTGTGCCCTTTGAAACCAGAGAAGGAGGGGCTGCAGTAGCCTCAAAGTAGCCACCCCACATCCTCTCGGGGCGGGGGTGAGGAGGATGTGGAGGCAGACAGTGCTCCTGAGGTAAGTGTACTTCTGCCCTTCCCTCTGCTTAGGACACAGGTGGAGTCGGGGGTACGGTTTCGGGTGGTACTTAGAACTGCCTGGCAATCCCAAGGCCAGAGAAGTGAGGCGTGAGGTACGTGACCCATTCCCACAATCCCTTCCACACCCCACCAAGGAATCTGAAGAGCCTGAGTCATCTGCCTCCTTCATGGCAGCGGGTCCAGTCTCCCGCCTGAGTACCACTTCTGCCCTGACTTCCTTCTGAAGGTCCACGAGCCACTCAGGCCTCTGGTGGCAGGTTGGCTCTCAGGGAGAAGAGAGGGCTCCTATTACCGCCAGGCCCAGAACAGTCCCTCTGGAGAGGCTGCAGACCCTGGGTGGAAACAAGGGCCACGTATCGAGTCCTGCTTACCTTGAAACTTCTAAATATTTAGACACACAGTATGTGGGCCTCCATGCTTACACTTGCTCTGGGCAACACAAATGTTGGGAATGATTCTGCTCAGATATCTGCGGCTTTACAACTCAGTATGTGATTCTCATAAAAAGCCAAGATTGAACCCTGTGGTCTACGGGATAAAACCCCAACCTTTGAGTATGAAATCCAAGACCCTGTGACCCCACAGTCCTTTGGACAGCACGCTCCCCACCTCCCTAGATTTATTTCCCATTCTGCTCCTTTATGCAAAAATGTTGTGTGCTATATAAAACTGTTCTACCAGCATACTAACCCCTCTTCCTGCACATGCAAAATTTACTCATATTCCAAGACATAACTCAAATGCCTTCCACCAAGCTTTCCTTCATCACGTAGTGAAGAATAATCTCTCCCTCGTCTATGGTCCCATATTATTTTCCAGCCCCTTTGCTACAGATCCTTGCGTTTTCTACTCTATTTGTCCCTATCATGTTTGGTTCATTTCAGTATCCATTGCTAGACCTTGCATATCATAAGCACCCAACCAACTGTTGGTCAATTTAAACCTTCCAA